TATATATATAGCATTATAACAACACGCTTTAGATTTTATCTCTATCATTATTTACTTTTGGTGGGGTATCTCAAAGTTCGCCTCATCCATCCATATTCTAGAAGCCTCTGGATGGCTTGCTGCGGGGCCATTGATAAAGGCACATTTTTGCGAAGGAGCCCCTCTAGCTTCTATTACCTCTCCTGTTCGGTGCCGTTCCCCTTCAGTGGAACTAACGGGGTCTCACAGGAAGGTATGGGGGAGATGGTTAGGCACAGCCTTCCACTGGCTTTGGTGCTATAAGCGTTCATGCTTCCATCTCAACTGCGACTGCAGGTGTAGATTATGTGGTTCCGCGGAGAACCTCCAGTGCGAACACCTACTACAATGTGAGTGGGTTGTAGGGGACTTTGTCTCCTTTGACGCTTCGGCTCTTCTAAATTTGGAGAGAGCGTTAATTGCTACCCTGCCACCGGGTTGAAAAAAAAAAAATAAATAAATAAATAAATAAATAAAAAAATAATAATAATAATAATAATAATCGATCCTTTGTCATCAGGTTGTTTTAGCTCTTTTCTTCCTGTGAAGAATGTATTCAATTTTTGAATAAAACGTTACACAATAAGTATTTACTTATAAAGCCAGGGTCAGAATAACACAGGCTACAATGTGGAAAAATAGGCCCAAAACCAAAGGAAAAATCTCCTAAAATGTCTTATGTTTTAGCCACATCGTATTCAGGCCCACATACAATTACAGCCCCAGCCCCACAGAATATATCTTTCGTGTCGTCAAACGACGGCTGATAAGAATTAGGCGTATCATTATTTATCTCTATTATTTGCAATGCATCAAGGACTAATGCTGCCTAATACGCATGCGCATTAGTGTGAAAGAATTAGATGCCTTATCGGATTCTAATTTCAATAAAGAGTCAATGGCCTTGTCGGTTAAGGCGTCTGCAGCAGAAGGTCCTGAGTTCGAATCCCAGTTGGGGCACCTATTGTTTTCACCCTCTCAGATTCCTTTCTTTAATGTTAAAAATGTATATTTACAGCATTACCGCAAGACGGCTTAGAGTATAATTGATCTAATTCCCAATTATTTTATGAATTTTTAAAGATACAGTTATACAGGCCTGTATTATAGGTCTATATATTAAAATGGTAACGAAGGCAGTTTATGAGTATAGAACAAAACACCCCAACTAGGATTCGAACCTGGATCTCCTGTTGCTGTACTATACAGAGTATTAACCAACTGGGCTAATCAATTATTGTAAATCAATGTAGGACAACAAACGCCACTGGATATCGAGTAGTATTTATTTAATTTTGTATCACGTACTCAATTGTTTTGTCCCCTGCTTTACAATATCACTTGGAAAAATGTGAACACGAACACTATTTATTTATAACAATTCCCGAAGTGAATATTAAATTCAAAGCTAGATCAAACTCTTTGGATTTAAAGGGCCATAAAGAACCGTGCTTCAGCCAAAACTCAGGAATATGTAAATTATACAGCTGTAACCTTTAAGAACAATTCACTTCATTTGTAATAACCTAAAGATATTAGAGATAATGTATTTAAGGAATTAAATGTTGATCTTTGTAATAACGGATTACAATGACAAATCACCACCCGATGTCTTTAATGTGCAAAGCCGCTCAGACAGCAAGTTAGCAGCTACTGAAATTCACCCGCTCAGCTCGCGAACCAGCAGATGGGCTCAAGTTATAATAAAAGTACAGTAAAATTAATTCAACTAAAAAACTATTGAAGACTGTCACAAAGCCACACCATAATATCTCAGTACTGTAATAAATATGAAAATTTAGGAAAGTGGTCTTTTTTTCTTTTTCATATTGTTAAATATTACATTTAAGAAAGTATAAATTTAAGGCCTAATACCGGTCACTCAGTGGATTTTGCTAAAATCTTTAAAAAACTTTTACGACAAAAGTATGCAAAATGTCTTTACAATGCTTAAGTTTATATACAACTAAAGCTTAAAGCAACAAAGGCCTTCCACAGAGACCAGTTATTCTAACTTTCTAAATGTCGATCTCGTAGCTTTGATTATCAAATTTCATGTCAGATTTTGTGCTAATAGTCTGCACATGCTCATTGCTTTCCCTAGCAGCAGCATCCCTTGGACTGAAACGATTAAGCTTCCTTGCTAGCTTTATGCCGACAACTGTGGCTATACTGACAATAACGAGTAGGCAAATGTTGACGACTAGGACAGTTATGTCGAAGAATCCATCCGGGCGTCTATCGTCAGTGTCTGCAACGAATAGTAAGTAATGATTAAGTAAAATTAAATGACGTGGAAAAACATATTTATGATTATCGATGGTAGCCCGAGTGGTCTTAATGTGCAAGCCGCTCAGATAGCAAGTTAGCAGCTACTAAAATTCACCCGCTCAGCTCGCGAACCAGCAGATGGGCTCAAGTTATGATAAAAGTACAGTAAAATTAATTCAACTAAAAAACTAGTGAAGACTGTCACAAAGCCACACCATAATATCTCAGTACTGTAATAAATATGAAAATTTAGGAAAGTGGTCTTTTTTTCTTTTTCATATTGTTAAATATTACATTTAAGAAAGTATAAATTTAAGGCCTAATATCGGTCACTCAGTGGATTTTGCTAAAATCTTTAAAAAACTTTTACGACAAAAGTATGCAAAATATCTCCAAAACAAATAAATACTGGAAACCCGCTATGCGAGACATTGCTGGAGGGATGAAAATCATATAATAGGCCTACACCAAATTTTGTTCTGAAATATCACCGACAAGAAGACATTTCCATCATTGAAGTACAGTAGATGGAATCTTTGTACTTGACAAACAATAAAATACAAGAGGTAAGTAAACATTTTTTTCTCATACGGGGGCGGCGCTAGCAGGGCTCCAGGGGGAAAAAGAACCCCCCGTTAGGGGACCTCTGAACCCCCGCTTAGACCACCTGTCAGGAAATTTCCAGCAAGTTCGTCGGAACCCCCTGTACACATAGCCTAACGTTTGTTTATTCTTATCCAATATTGGTGAAAAAGAATTTGTTTGTGACCGCATTATACTCACTCTTGTTTTTGCTCGACGAAAATCTCAATGCTATTCGTTCGCTGTGTTCCTTTTCGGTGTTGAGTTGTGCACTACTGCTACGCTTTCGACGGGCGTCACCCATGTCTGCTTGTACCTCATCAGATACCGTGTTGGTACATCCTTGGTTACAAACCGAGTTGATATCGTTTTGTGAACAAATGTTTACATCACAACTGATGAAAACCTGATTAATATAGAAATAAGTTTATAGTACAATCTAAAAATAGTTATAATAAATTTGTAAGACATTTACATTTAATCTCAATGTCTAAGTAGTGCTCATTATTTTATAAAACAACCTCCAGAAAAGTTTTTTCTATTAGGCATAAATGCAGATATTATCTCCGTAAATATTACATTTTTAGTAAGAACAGCTCCAACGGTTAAATTAATGTGTAATTTACAAAATCGTGTAAGCCTACGCCAAATAATAATTTTTAAAAATGCTGATTGCCCAGCTGTATAAAGCAGTTTTTTCACTTAGATATTTTTTATTAATCAAATTGAAATATTTCTTCGGTCCTAGCTTGTAATACAAAGACTGTATAAGCCTATTGTCCCAAACAGGAAGATCATGTAAAAGCCGAATTAAAAATCATGGTAAATCTATCCGCAATAGCCTAACACAAATTCATTTGGTAAAACACTACCTTGGGGGGGGGGGGGGGTTCTGGTTTTTAAACAGGTACTGTCAGACCATTGCGTTGATTTATGATTGAGACTAAAAACAAAATGTGATAAGTTTTTTAACAATAGAATCTAACATCATTGTTTAAATAGAATAACGTTTTGTGTGTGTTCAACATAACACTCCACAAATTTTCGTTCACGTTTTAGTAATTTTATTATAAAATTAACTTCCACGCTAACGAAGGAGGCATGTGCTCCTAACATGTATGTAAGAATAATCTACAGTATTAATTTGATGATACTTATACGTATTGAGTTATGTAAATTATTCAATGATAGTTAATACGATATACACTATATGAATTTTCAATTGTATATTCCATAACGTTTTACCTATTGCAATCAGTATTACCTAAAATTATACCGGTACGTACATTATTAATATTATTTCATATTAGTATACAGTATATTAGCATAATATACGGTTATATATTAAGCCTTTATGTTGATCCGCCCAACAGTTTAATAAGTTATAGCTTAATGATAATGCCAGTATTTTTGTAGTTGTACTTACCCTGTCCAGCATTCCATGACGATGAAATTCAAAAGACTCAATCGAAAACCTAACTTCGGACAATGAGGGTGATTCGTGGAATTCCACCGTGCTGTCTTCTACACAACTTTTAGAGAAAGATTATAAAAAAGTAGTATTTACCCTTTTCAGTCAACTTTCGAATAGCTGTAAAACAGATATTTTAATACAAGAATAACAAATGGAGTGTTGATACAGAAATTAACACATGTGGAACTAGGGTCATTTGGGTGTAAGCCAAACATAATCAGGTCTATCCCCATATTCAGATAAAATTATTAACCATTATGTGTAGGTAACAAGAAAGCTTGCCTTTTACTTTGATTTTAAAAGACATACCCATTGAGAATGAAGTAATAATAATCTGCGGCCGTAGGCTCAGCCGCCGGTGTAGCTTTACAGCTGTCGATGCTGAGGTGTAGGCCTGAATTTGCGGCCTTTGCCGAGAAGTAGAGTCGCTCACGGAGTAGTACATGTACTGGGTAGTCCAGCATCGTGTATGGCACTAAGAAATTTTCGTCATGATATAGAGCCAGCCCAAAGTTGAAGGAAGCCGTCTCACGCATGTTAAAGATGATAGGAGATGTATCAGGGTCGAATACTGCATGAATAATGCCGTCTGAATAAACATCACAGACGATATTTATTTGAATTTCCCGCTCACGTGTGATACTTGTGTTGGTGATAGGAAGCGGCTCGGAGAAAATTGTATTTCGATATTTGATGCCATTAGATTTTACCTATATGAAAGAAGCGCAATATTGGATTAGATCTGTCATTCTTCTCATTATTACTGTATGAAACAATTTCAAACTCAAACACAAATATACTTTTATTTCCATACAATTAAAGTAATACAATATACAGTAATAAATGCAAGTAGAAACAAATATATTGTATGGAAGGAGGCTACAATAAGTTCTGCAAGAAGAACCCACAGAACTTTAAGGCGTAGCCACCTTTTACAAAAAAAGTTGGGAAAATGACTGCTACCATTTAGTTACCGTATATTTAATCTAAACTAATAGCGTCACAGAAATTACATACCAATAAATTTATAATAATTCCAAGTTTTATATACGTTTTTTGAAAGTACAAGACCAAGACTCAAGACTCAGTACCAGACACATTATTTTTAAGACTCAAATAGAGATGAAAGGACGAGAGGGATAAAGTATAGGTCTAGGACCAATGGAGTTACTTTACGCCATACCTTTGTGATTGTTCCACACAAGTCATAACTCGATTCCATCAGTATTACACTTTCGTTGGAATAGGAACCTCTGCAATCCGGGTCATTAAAATGTAAATGTCTAGGCAGTACATTCCCTACAATGAATCTAGGAACGTAAACCCGAAGTCCGAAGCTAGTGCACTCAGCTACCGGTGCCGTAATCGGAGCAGGGGTTGCAATGGTGGTCGTAGGTAACAAGGTTGTGGTTGGTGCCAGAGTTGTTGGAGCCTCGTCTAATTTATGATAAAATATTCAATATCAATAAATGCAAGCCTATTTATACTGCAGGTCATGGGCCAATAGAGACCTCATCATGATTATCAGTGTATGTCAAAAATTAAAATTCGGGGTCTCTAAAATTAATTTTAATAGGTGAGTTTACAAAAATAACTAACCCCCTTCTTTAACCCAACTTTTGTTATAATAAGATCGTTGATGAATATTGTAGGTATCTATAAATGACTTTAGAGAAGCGAAGCTTTGTAAATAAATAGGATAAAAGCATTAATCAATCAAACAACATGTTTTAAAGAGCGCTATCCAAGATAGAATTATTATGTTCAGTGCTGCAATGAAGTTCAAGGAAACTGGTGCAAACAGCGTGACAAATTTATTGGGTATGACACGCATAAGTAATTCTTTTTTATCAAGTAATAAGCTATAAACTTTATAATGATTTTTGAGAATAGAAATTGTACCTGTGGCGAAGAACCATCGGCCACCGTCATTAGGCCTTACAACTGAACATGGATCGTTGTAACGACCCAAAACTACCCCAGATTCAACCTCTATGGCATAAGTACGCTCACTTCGTAGGTTTAAACCAGTGATATTTATTGTTAGCATCGTGTTGTTGTACTCGGGAAATTGCACACGATTGGATCGTGACGTATCGTATCGAGATATAACCCGCTCTTCACCGTTGGCACGAAATTTTATAATTCGCACATAACTGGATAATTCAGGTTTTCGAATCTAAATTTCAAAGAAAGAATAAATGAGGAAACTTGTATTAATTAATGGAATAGGATACAGGCACAGCTGCTGTTTACCGTATATGAATATCATATTTTATATAATAATATAATAACAAAACAAATGGTATACCTCGCTGTCAAAAACCAAGATCAACTCGTCAGTAGCGGCACTGATTGGCGTTCGAGGGTTGGGTACGGACTGCTCTGGCAACAATAAGGGCGGACTTCGAATTATTTCGTCTATAAATATTTCAAAATATAAACAATATCACAAAATATTAAAATATTGTGCTAGGCCTACTACATAATGCGATACCGGTACCGTTTCATCCTAAATTTAATGTATTCACTGAATTGGATTTATTCGGTGTGAGGAACGCAAAGACTTATTTCCAGTGGGGTCTATTTTGTGGTGATTGAGCAGTACACCGAAAGACAATTCCCTACTTCTTTGAAGAGTGTACTGCGTTTTTTTAAAGTGCATATAGAAAATTTTCCACATGAGACCAACTGCTTAATTCTTCCGGATGAGTGTGCGTATTTACATTATTTTTTTTATATATTATTATATATCATAAATTCAACATATACAGAAAACATTCGACGCATCCTTGTTCATTGAAACAGACAAAACAATAAAGTACAAAATGACAGGTTAGTGGCAGTACTTATTACTTCAGACCTTTGGCTGAAACCCAAAGAGGGTAGACAATGGAATTGAAACGGGAAAGGTTGACAATGGATATCCACGGTGGCTACCACCAACTTATTTAGTTGACTGAGATATGCTGGCTTGAGATACTTAAATGAAGAGTAATCGCACTACGTCCTCAGACCTTCATTAAAGCTTACTTACTAGTAACAACCAGTGTAACGCATTGCTGATCAGTTGATACTCTGAAAGAGATAATGTTCAATACAAAGCGTAAATTTTTAGTTTAGAATTAGAGCGGCCTCACTACCGGTAATCATAACGGAAATACAGCGTAAATGTAAACATTAGCCTATGGGTTTTATTATGCACATGAACCAATAAAATATAATCAGCTGCATTTTCTTTACAAAAGTAGTAGAATATATATATATATATATATATATATATATATATGATTATATATATATATAGATATACATATATATATTCATATATATACATATATACATAATTATACATATATATATACATATACATATATATACAAATACATATACATATACATATACATATATATATACATATATACACACATATATATATGTACTATATATACACATATATATACATATATATATATACATATATATACACACATATATATATATACGTACTATATATATATACACATCAACGTTAAAGCACTTTAACGTTGATGAAGATAGCAGGAGCTATCGAAATATCCGTTTGATTTTGTTATAGCTTAATAAATGTGTGTTCCGCAAGTCAACTTTCAATGATTGTACACCGTTTTTTCATTGTTTACTTGGAGCATACATGCAAACCCACTCTTCAATAACTACTACTGCTGCTGCTGCTGCTACTGCTACTGCTACTGCTGCTACTACTACTACTACTACAGATGTGTATAAGAGACAGAATATATACCGATACTAACCCATCTTCATCGGTGGCAAAGAAGCAGACGAAATGTTGTCCAAGTTCACTCATGGTTGGTGTCCATGACAGTGTAACATTGTAGTCGGTGTCACTACCTGGATACCGAGCCAGGAACGACTTATCAACATTGGGTGGCGTTGATGTTGAAATCTGCGTAATTCTATAAACATCGAAGTGAATTTTCAAATTATATATATTATAATAATTTATCGGAGATAACATCATATGCATTTTTACCGCAATTTAGTACATTATCATCATATCCTTTATAACGTCCTTCCAAAATCGTATGGTAAACCCAGCAATGCACATCGACTTTATAGAAGGAGATCGGGCCTATTCCCCACAGCCTCAGTTTTCAGTAAAATTTCCACCCAAAATCCAGCACAAACGAATAATAATAATAATAGGCTTAATAATAACCCGGTTTTTATTTTATTATTGTGAATTACACACACAACATAGCACTTTGTAACTTATCTTGCAAAGAGCGGTCTGTAATTATCATTATTAACGTTAATACTAATGAAATGTCAATAATAATATTAATATTAAACAATGTGATGAACTAACTCAATAGATGGCCTCCCTGTTCTTGCTCGTATAGACATTTGCCAGAATTGATTTGGCCTGAGAATCTCACACGATCCTACAGGCGCTATTATTGTAGGCTTCCTGCATATGTCGTCTGTAAAATACGCAAGATTATGATTAATTAAAACAAATAATTTTTATTCAACAATATGTGAATTGTATCAGAATGAAGTCAAGAATCTTGTTGAAGATTAGAGCCTGATAGAAATTCTTATTCATCAGAGTAAATACCAAACTGGTATTCTCAGGATGTCTACCCAAAATACATGGGTTGTAAGGTGAGAGCATTACCACGGTTATCTTGAAGTTTCTTTCCGTTTCTAATTTTCTCAAAATTAACATACATACGAATATAAGAAATTACAAATGGCTTGTTAAAAATAAAGCTATTATGCTGCTAAAAGGCATATCCTTAAAACGAAATTATTAGTTTTTCCTACGTTGATCCCTACTTTTTCCCTATAGAAACATTGTGTTACACAATTAGAATATTATGATAATTATTTATGACAAAACTATTTTCGTATTAACTTCACTTACTAAGTGGGAAAACATTGATGAGAAATTGGAGTGATATTTTACTAATGGGCTCAATAGAAGTGCTGGTCTTGAAGTCTTCGATGATGACGAATACAGCGTACCATCCCGGATTACCTGTTGCATTAAACGTGATTTGACAAGTGTCCTGGAAAATAAAATTGTCACCAGATGTGATGTACCGGTATTTATTATTTTTGTGTAATTGATTAGTACATTTTATAAATATTGTTATTGATATATTAAATTATTATTATTATTATTATTATTATTATTATTATTATTATTATTATTATTATTTTTTTTTTTTTTTTTTTTTTTTTTTTTATATATATAAATGCTTTATTATTTCTGTCTTGTTGGTGTAGAATTTTATAGGCCTACGTTTGAATTCAATTGTATAGGCCTATATATATTTTATTTAAATTTTAAAGAGGGCCCCTGAACATCAACTGGCCTTCGGATACAGCTGGAAGGGTTACCCTCTATAAATAAAGTTTTACAAAAGTAAATCTACACACAAGGCGTGAGTTACCAAAAGCCCAATACAAGATGTTTGAGAATGTGGTCCGTACGTTGGTTGTGATTTGGTCAGAAGTTCGATTTTTCTTCTGGTAAATTGCTTGTGTCTTTGATTATGGGACTTAATCTATCTTGTTTATTTTTATCGAAAATTATACGAAAGAGCCGTTTTAGGTTTATTTGTAAATATTCTGATTAACTATCTGCAACATAATAGGGCAACTCTTAGGATGGAAACTGTGAACTTCCAGAAATTAAGGTGAAGCTCATTACAGCTTTGACATGATACTCTGTACAAGAATTACATAATATTATTTTTATCTAATGTAGAAATTAATAAAAAAAAAAATATGAGAAGCCACTCACTGACCTCTACAAATGTTCTCACCTGATTTAGATAACTATTAGGTGAAAGAGGACCACATACTTGATTACCGTTTATTGCTTGTGGACACTCATTCTGGTTGTCGTCTGCCCAACGACATCGGACAACATCACCGTCCGGGTCACTAGCTAAAAGAAAAACACAATAAAAATAAATATTAATATTAATAATAATGATATTAATAATACTAATACTACTACTAATAATAATAATAATAATAATAATAATAATAGTAATAATAATAATAATAATAATAATAATAATAATAATAATAATAATAATAATAATTATAACTATAATAATAATTATATATAATGATTATATCAGTGAAAGTGTTTCTGCGGCAATTAAAAACTTTGTTGACCCTTGGTTTGAAAGGCAAGTGACTTGCCACAGCACACTCCAAGATATTGCCATAACTGAATGCTTTGAATCGACTCTCTAATTCTACTGTGTCTTCAAAGATTACTATATCATAATTTGTTCATTTAAAAAGTAATTTAATGTTGGTATCTCTAGATTGTACCCAGATTCATCAGTAATGACACGTTGCAGTTGGATAACCTTTTATTTTATCACTTTCCATTTGGATCGCTCTCCTAAAAACCTACCTGGAATATTTATGGTGCTAGTACATCCGTCCTGTACCTTGATGACAGGTATCATTGATGTTACGGGCAATGAGTTTGGTCGCCCTATATCTGATCTCACAGACATGTCAACAGTGGATACCATTTTCCAATAAGTTGTTGGGCCATAATTTTGCAGTGGTACCCAATAGCTGAACTCGGCGCCCGGCGAATATCTATAAATGTAGCCATATTATTGATTTCATTAGATGAATCTATGTCTGAAACTATATGTTATCGCGTCTGCAAATTTTATAAATAAATAAAATTAATTGTTAAAGGTAAACAAATACTGTACTGGTTTATTTACAAAGAATAACAATTACACAAACAATCTGGCTTCAGGTGGTTTGAATGCTCTGCTCCAGATCTCTGAAATAAACTTCCCGCCTCAAGACATTCCTCTTTCACCAACATTTTGATAAGTTTTCTTCTTTTTCCATCTTTTTCTTGATGACTTCAAACTGTCTTTTTATTCCTCTGCTTTTCATTTTTCTCTTTTTTTTTCTGGATAGCTCATAGAGGCTTTAGAAGTATGCGCTATAAAAGCACAATTAATAATAATAATACTAATAACAATAATAATAACAATAATAATAATAATTTATTATTATTATAATTATGATAATGATAATGCTATTAATAATAACAATAATATTAATAATAACAATAATAACAACAACAATAATAATAATAATAATAATAATAATAATAATAATAATAATAATAATAATAATAATAATAATAATATAATAAGTCATTAAATAAATAAGATTTAATTGATATTATGTTAGCCAGGCGCCTCACTCCTATCTGTACAGGCGGAATAATATGTTTTAGGTCAGAGGTCATGCCTTATAATTGGCCTATTTTGTACAGTTTCTTTTAAATGCAATGATGATACCCAACGAAATTAATAATCTGCTTGTTACTTGTGATTTCGATCTCTTTCATGATTGTTTAAATGTTTTTGAAAGTAAAATTGTTAAGTCTATGTAAGTGTTTTTCCACTTTTAACATTATTGTTTACATATATTTTATTACGGTTTGATTCAACCTGTGACGGTTTTTATCGCTGTTGGTTTCGAACTGAATAAAATAAAAATAATAAAATAAGAATAATGATCATAATGATAACTATATAATTCCAAATAATTTATTTATTACTGTTGTAAACAGTTTAATGGATATCGGGACAATAAAGTAATAAACTATAGCAATATACTCACACAAGTGTGAACTTATCTATTGGATATGTATACTCGAGCGATCCTACTCCAGAGCTCCAATCATATATTTCATTGTAGTCGGTACACTCAAACTCAACCGGGGAGTAAATTAGACTCGGGTTGCACTGCTGGCAGCTCAGCTCACCTTCTCCATTCTTCACCTCCCCACGGCTACTGCAATATGTAGTCAGATCATCATAGCTGCGACGCCATGCCACTTGCCAGAAAATCACCACCTTTTTTGTAAAAATATTTCAAGAACATAGTTATTTGTCGAAGGCTGGTAAAGTATGTAAGAGGAATATAATATAGGACTATTATAGTATAGGCCAACTGCACTTAATATTCTTTCTTTTATAAGAACACTTTTTATAAGAACACTGAGGCTGAAAGTGCTTAAAAATTAAGAACAAATTAGGAACTAATTGAGGCTAAGGTTAAATGTTAAATGATGTTTTTAACAACAAAACTCATCTGTACCTTATTTACAGTAGCTGTGACTGTGTACAATAATATACTGCTGTAGGCCTACAATAATAATTTTGTATGTTTGAAAAGTGTGTAAAATAAGAACAAAATAAGAACATTTTTGAGCCAAATTTTCCTGATTCTTATATTCAAAAAGTGAAGTTGTATTTTTGTAGGGCCAATTGCTTGGCTTATAAGCGCATACCTTGTTGCTGTCTTCAGCAGGTCTCCAACCAAGTATTCCACCACGATAGTGAGTAGAATGCGTGCAGCAAAGTAATGATGCAGTTATAAGTAAACAGTAGTACAACATTATCTTAAGTACAAAACAGTTAAACAAAACATTAGTGAAAGCTGGATATTCTTTATTCACATGGATCTAATTCAATTATTATCGACGGGCGTGCACTTAAATCCCTATCGACTATCCCTATAAATGTTACCTACAGCAGGGTGAAAGACTGTTCACTTATTCGTGACACAGAGTTGACAAGAACAGAATTGATGGGGTTTGCACTGTGTGTACACAAAATAATTTTACAGCAACAGTGTGGACACAGTGTGGGCACGGTGTGAATGGTACCAAGTAGAGTTCCTATATAGATAGAGTTGCGACATGAGCGGTTCAGGTCACGTGGCTACTCCCCCCCCCCCTCTATATGCCATCTTGGCGCCCCATTGATCAAGTCAGTGGTGCGTAGCCAACAGAAATAAGATAAGCTTTGGGGCAAAATTATTGAACTCATGTTACTTAAAAATCCGTAACGAAGAATCGTATCACATTATTTTTTTTTCTGGAAATGTTCTTAAAAGACTATTCTACACCACTATATAAGTTTTAAGAAATGAAAAAAATGTTTCGACCTCTGCCACAAGATGGGGGAAAAAAGAGCCTATCTAAATAGTGTATTAAAATAGGCCTCTGCAGTACTACGTAGGTAGGGTAGGACAATAGGCCTAGCAGGCTATTAAAAAGTAGTGTAGTACATTTTCAGTAACCGTATGGCTTACGGATTTCTCTTATTATGTACTACTAGTTATTTTGGAGATACCATCGGACTGGGACCCTAGCTGAGGCGTGCCACAAACACCCATTTACTATACGAATTCGTAAGTTGTCCAGTGAAAAGGCCTAGGCCCTGTCGCCTACTATTTTATGAGCCGAGCAAACGCGATGTTGTACGCCTAGCTAAGGCGCTATGAAATTTTGGTTAAGCAAAAACTGCGTGTAATATAATAATTAATAACAGCATATTGAGAATCAATTTCTTTTGGAATTTTGTTATAAATTTCAAACACATGTTGATTAACAGATATTTACTATCAAATGACATAAAATTTTCTTATTAATATTTTATTTATTTTTTTCAATTGTTTATTATTTTTGCAATCGCCACACTGTAGCATAGGCTTTGTGGTCACTCATGCATGCAAAGCACCAAGATGGCTACCTAGCAGCGTCTCATGCCGCAACTCTCTCTATATAGGAACTCTAGTACCAAGGATTGCATAGCGTCCTCTATTGACTATCATTCCGAACATCATCACATACATAATATGGTAATAATATGCCAATTTTTTTTTATCTAGTTGATACAACGCATTTAAAAAATGAATTCTTTATTCAAAGGAAACAAACATTATGAAGGATTCGATATGACTTCCCTTAAGATATTTTATTCAATACAATAATTGTTGTTATAATACAAACTTTAGAACTGCCAGAATTTGCCTATAGGCCTATTCAATTATGAGATCAATAAATCAAGTATTTTTTAAATGTAAAAAATGTTTGATAGTAATCTCATAAATCTAAGTAAACCATCTTTTTTTTCATTTCACCCATAGCGAGTAACTCGCCAATCACTGGATGGACGATGCTTAAAGGGCAACTCAGACAGCGTCGGCCGACGCAGCCCGACCCGATTTATCGTCGGGGACAGTCTTAAGCCGTCGTGAGAAATATTAAACATGTTTAATATTCTACTACGTGACTACCCCCGACGCACACCATCGCGTCTGCGTTCAACTCACACAGACCCGACGCGACAACAAATCGCGTCGGGCTGCGTCGGCCGACGCTGTCTGAGTTGGCCTTTATGGCTACGTCTCTATATGAGGCTTAGGGAGTGGAGTTGAGTAGTGAGAAAAAAATCGTGATGTCACATGAATTGAACTGAGGACCCTAGGATAAGAAGGCAAGCACCTTAACCACTTAGCTAAACAGCTCCACTCACATCGGATTAGAAGTAAGATGTAAACTGGTAAGTTATTTGTTAGTTTAATCAACTTTAGGTTGATGAAAAGTTGATAAATACATTGATAAACTATAAACATAACTTTCATTATATCCGGTCCGCGTGCCTTTCTACTTAGGCCTAATACGTTACCAATTTCATGAGACACAAATTTAAGCGTAATTTCTTCTTAATTCTTCTTGCAACTTTTTCGTTTAAGAGCGAGAATAGCCTAGCAAAGTGTTTCACGCTGTATTTCGCACCGACATAAGCTGCTTTGGGGTGTTTTTGGATACAGTCGTATCTCAGCAAGTATCTCTAGAAAAGTAAGACATAAGATTTATCTTACTTTTCTAGATCTAGAAAAGTAAGATAAATCTTATGCCTTACTTTCTAGATCTTACTTTTCTAGACACCCCATGCTGACCTGTTATAGCAGTGATGGATGTATTTTCAAGTCACCCAATCAAGCTGGAAAGCCTAGCCATGTACCGTACTGATGTTCAAATTCACAACTAATTATTGATAAAATGTCGAACAAGTGTTAATATTATGATGATGATGAATAAAATGAAATTACAAAAAAACCCCAAAAAACAAAAAACGCATACAATGGAATCTCCGAATTTCGAATGCCCAGTAAACAGAATTTCACGCTAAACCAAACTTTCCCAAAACCATTCCTATTCTTCTTTAATAATACTTTCCGAAAACCGGATCTCCCTATTCCAAATTCCGGACAATTTATTCG